AAAACTGAACAAGGGAACACAGGGAAGTGAGGGCATAAATACACAGGTGAACCAGATAGACACAGGTGACACCAATAGGAAGATGATTAGTTCTGACAGTGAGTGAGGTGCCTAAGCTTGTCGGAGGATGACACCTAGTGGGTCGCTCCGGAACTACGACCCACTCCTGTAACATGAGTGCTACGTGGAGATAGTCATTTAGACAAGTTACCTTGGCGTTCTTGGGCACAGGGACTATGGTGATCTTCTTGAAACATATAGGTATTACAGAAAGGGTCAGGGAGAGGTAGCCTTTAGTTCAGTGCGAATGTTGCCTGTTGTCCATGGCTTCTGGTTGGGACATGTATGTATGATCACTGTGGGGACGACATCGTCGATGCACTTATTAATGAAGCCGGTGACTGATGTGGTAAACTCCTCAATCTTTCGGATGAGTCCCGGAACATATTCTAGTCTGTGCTAGCGAAACAGTCCTGTAGCTTAGCATCAGCTTCATCGGACCACTTCCGTATTGGGCGCATCACTGGTACTTCCTGTTTTAGTTTTTGCTTGTAAGCAGGAATCAGGAGGATAGAGTCATGGTCAGATTTGCCAAATGGAGGGCGAATGAGAGCTTTGAATGCGTCTCTGTATGTGGAGTAAAGGTGATCTAGAGTTTTTTCGCCTTTAGTTGCACAGGTGACATGCTGGTAGAAATGAGGTAAGACGGATTTCAGTTTTCCTGCATTAAAATCACCGGCCACTAGGAGCTCTGCCTCTGGATGAGCATTTTCTTGTTTGCTTATGGCCCTATACAGCTCGTTGAGTGCGGTCTTAGTGCCAGCATCGGTTTGTGGTGGTAAATAGATAGCTACGAAAAATACAAATGAAAACTCTCTTGGTGAATAGTATGGTCTACAGCTTGTCATGAGCTATTCTAACTCAGGCAAGCAGAACCTCAAGACTTCCTTCATTTTAGAGATCACGCATTAGTTGTTGTTAACAAAGAGACACACATCACCCCCCTTGAGCTTACCCGATGCTGCCGTTCTGTACTGCCGATGCATAGAAAAACCAGCTAGAATATTATTAATTTTCTTGCTCAGCCAAGTTTCAGAGAAACATAGGATATTACAGTTCTTCAGGTCCCGTTGATAGGTTATTCTCGAACGGAGCTCGTCCAGTTTGTTCTCCAGTGATTGTACATTTGCCAATAGAACAGAGGGTAGAGGTGGAATATTTACTCTCTGCCGCATCTTCATCAGGGTACTCGCACATCTGCCTCTATATCGCTGTCTCTTTCTCTTCCGAGTGTCGGGGATTAGAGCCTGGTCCGGAGCAAGCAGTATGACCTGTGCTGCCGACTCATTGAAGTAGAAATGTTCATCCAAATCGAGGCTAGCAATCACTGTTCTGATGTCCAGAAGCTCTTTTCGGCCATAGGGAACAATGGCGGAAACATTATGTAAAAAAGAAAATAATATGATCAGTGCAAAAAAAACACAAAATAGCAGATTGGTACTTACTTAGTATTTACATAGCATTAATTGGTCCTATTGGTCCTGCATGTTAGAGAAACCCAGTTGAGCTGCTTTGCTTTAGAACTAGGAATGGAGCAAGAGAAACGAGCCCATCCCTCTATAATAGGCCTATAAATCAATATGACTTAGTGGCTCTTCAGGTTGTGTGTGAGTTATGGCAGGCCTTGTGAGGGGACTGCCTGGCTGAGTTGTTGTCATCAAAGATTCATAAGTCCACGCCTTAGTCTGGATGTTCCATGTTCATCCAGCCAGACTGACTGATAAACAGACAGCAGAGCAGACAGGCTCATCAAGTTTATTAGACACTTAGCTAGGAGCTCTGACAGAACCCCCCCCCCCCCCCCCCCCCCCCCCCGTCTCGTCTCCGTCTCTGTCTCTTTGTCTCTCTGCTCTTCTATATCACTCTTTCAGGGTCACATTCAGTAGGAAAACATTGTCAAACGTTGAAGATAGAAATGTCATGAGCAGAGACAACACGATTCCTTATTCTACATGTCCGAGAGGCATGTTCTACATAACATATTTCTACCTGAACGTTCCTCAATGTTGTGCCCTGCTGAACACGCACCAGGTTTTGGTTTGCCTAGAGGCTCAGCCCCTCCATCTGACAGGCCAATTGTGGAACAACTAGCTCCAGTGTAGAATAATCCTATACTAGCGTATCTGGTCCATGGATCCTCCTCTCTAATGGTCTGGACAGGGGTGAGAGTGGTTAGCAGTAGGCATTTTGAGATGTGTTATGTTCTGTCTGTCTGTCTGACGGAATATATGGTGGTGTTATTTTATTGCACAGATTGTTTTTCTGACAGTAGTATTTTCTAACGACAGCCACCAGATGAAGAGATGGCCTATTGGACCCCATACGGATATTAACTGCTGGGCTCATTCCAGCAAACACATTATGAGCCTGGGTCATCTCATGTGAATGGTTTTCTGCCATGCATGGCATACATTGAATATCACAAAAGTCTCTTAAATGTGACTATTTATAAATATTTATGTTCTCTATGGGGCAAATCTTAACTGACTGGCCAGGAGTGCAGAAGTATTTCACTTTGTCATGCATTGATGTCAATGGGAGACTAAGGAACAATTCAGCTTAAGTTGAAATTACGATTCTGCCCTAAATGTTTTAGAGGGCTGGTCCTAATTCAGCTCGACATGGCGTAAGAATGACCCCGGCCTTACAGGCTGCTGCTCTTTAACTATTTATAGGTCCGCTATCTCCTGAGGTTGATGACCCATGAGAACATCGACAGGGCAGGGTTCCATTGATTACTAAGGGTTCATTGCATGAGTGAAATAGGGGGTTGAAGAGCGCAGGAGGTCTCTCCAAGAGGTGTCTTTTCCCTTATGTCTGCATTATGCAACTCCATTATGATAAAACCGTCCTGATAGCGTTATCATACAAAAGTAGCAGAAATGGTACAGGAAATCCCTGGCACAGATGGTTATGCCTAAGTTGTATTTTAAACATTATTTTGTTGATGCATGCAGGTTGTTTTTAAAGTAAAGTGGGTTAGGTACTGTATATGGTACAGTGTATGGATATGTTTGAGGTGAAAAGGCTGTTTGAGGACAATGCAACAAGATTGTGTTTCAGTGTTAGGCTATCGCTGACTGATGGTTGCCAGGGTGCTATCCACTTAAACGTTCTGTCTGCCTGCCTACATATCTGTCTGAATGCCTGCCCGCCTCTCAGTGGGATCAATTTCATACATATGGCAGAACTAATCTCAGTGGTTAAGAGAACTAACATAGTATTAGAGGAGGGAGGGGGGGGGGGGGGGGGGGCACAACAACACACAACGCCCAGACACTAAAGCAGACTGGGTTGCATAAACAGAAACTCCTCTACCACATGTCATGTTTCTCACTCCTCCCTAATTTATAGAACCACAGTCTGGGTAGGCAAGGGCATAACCACTAAATTGACTTTGGGATGTTGTATGTTGTGTGTCTCAACTTTCCCAGGGTTCATATACACTGCAGTTTATATTACTTGTACTGACTCCTGATAAACTGATTAGATTAGAGCTCTCAAATGGTTGTCGTGATATAAACCATGCTGAGAACAACCGATCCATGAGGTTGATTGGCACAGCAAATTGTACTGTAACTGAATAGGGCATTGCCATCAATAGGGTATTGGCATCATGCTGCCAAGCAACTGGAGAGAAAGTGAGGATCGACTTCATGGATTAATTAAACAATTACTGGGTCAGGTGACAGCTAGTCTGGCCAATTTGCATTGAATTTGCATCAGCAGCCTGGCATCTGAATATGAAAGGTTGGTAATGCTTAAACAACATTATCAATGAACAAAACCTCCTTCTGGAGAATGTCCTTTGATATTTCTAGAAGTTACCCTCTGGGAAATGCTCCATCTTGGCAGGTTTGAACCTGGCACTCCTAGGCAGATAGTGTTACAAAAACAACAACAGAAATCTGTAGGCCTAAACATTGCCAGCAGATACTGTCTCCATATGGATCAAATACAGCTGCAGTTTAATGCACTGGCATCCTATCCAACTTTTTGAACACCCACCTCAGAGTACAGTGAAAAGTTTGGCATGAAAATTGGTATCGAAGCAAATATAGGGAATTACAAACGTAATAGTCAAAATGTCTGGAATTCCCTCACTAGGATAATAGTGAACAGTTTGGTCTGTTAGTAAAACCGTTTAGTAAAAGGTATGCATTTACAGTAATCATCATTAATGCAGAAGTTCATGCTCTGCTGCTCCATAGACTCCAATTAAATACGGCAGACCATGACAAGCACACATAACACAACGCAAGGCATGGCCCCTAAAGAATGCAAAACAACTTCTATCTACAACCTTTGACTTCCTCATGAGGTAGGACTAATTCCAATGCAAATAAAATGTGTGAGTGGCATAGCCAACTCTTAAATCATTTGTCCTACTCAAGCAAGTACTAAATCAAACAGATCATAATATGTTTTAATACTTTATTTCAACAGTAACCTGTATGTTTATAGCTGAATGTTCATAGTGATGTGGGTCTTTGCAGTTCAATGCAGTCGTTGTTTTCCCTAGTTCTAAACATTTTCCGATAAATAATACTTGTGACACACAGAAACAGCATAGCAAGCTATATCAACTTTCCATAACTTTTGTCAGAATTTCAGCACAATTGGCATGATATAATCTTAAAATCTATTGCTTGTCTATACTGACTGAATATGTGAGAGTGGCCTATTTAAAGACAAACTATTGTGGATTGAGTTGATTATCATATATATATATATATATATATATATATATATATATATATATATATATATATATATATATATATATATATATATATATATATATATATATATATATATATATATATGGTGTCCATGCTGATGCCTTTTGGAGGAAAAGGATAAACATATTGTTTAGTGTGGAGAATTCCACTGTCCCTGAGTTTGCCTTGCATATTTTAAACAGTTCAATAAAGAGTTAGCTACACCAGTGATTCACACACAGGTGTATTGTCAGAGTCCTGGCTATGCATGGAGCTCAGCCCTGTGTCTGAGTCTTCATCGTTCATGTCGCAGGTCTTGGAAAGACCTCTGGCCTGCTCCACCCACCCACTGCTCTTCTCTAAGGAAGGCAACATTTCAGTCTCGGTGACACAAGAGTGTTCTTTATCAGCCTCCGGTAACTTTTCCTTATTTAAATTGGCATAGTGCATTTTTGCGAGCAAATCCGTTAGTTCTTTTTCTTTCGCGTCCCATAGCTCCTGGCTTAAGTCCAAATCACCCTTAATAGCCTCTAAATCCGTGTTCAAACGAAGACCAATATATAAACTGGTATCCAGCTTTGTTTTGATTATCTTCCCCTCTAAAACCAAGTCGTTCTCTGATAGACTGTCCACATCTGGCTCTGGAGCGGCGGCGCCTGACTGTGCTGCCCGCTGTGGAGTCACTGCAGCCACGGGGATGTCCACAGACTCCCCCATACTTTCTGTGTCTTTGCCCGATAGCTCATCTTGCCGTCTTTTCATCCACCTTTGGTTTAGCTCCTCCTGAATTTCACCTGTGATGCATTCCATGAGAGCCTCGCGCTCTGTCAACTCCTCCTGAAGTCCCAGGACCTCCTCGCACCTAAGCGCGTACTCCTCAAACTGCGCAATAGCCTCCGCTGAACGTGGAACGTCCTTTATTGGATCAGCCTCCGCGCTCGATTCCACCATGTATGTGTCCTGCACATAATTGATACCATGTCTCTTAATTCTGTCAAAGTGCACTTTTGCCTCATACCTTTCTATATCCCTATCCAATTCTTTGATCCTTTGGATCTGCTGGCGGATGGTGTGATCTTGCGATATAACTAAGTGCACCAATGTTTCCAATTTCTCCACTGAGGATTTATCCTGATGAACAGTCTGTTCTTTCTTTTTGTTAATTTTGTCCAACTTTCTAAAAGCTTTTCTAACAATCCTCCGCTGCTTTTCTTGCGAGAAAGCCATTGTGGTATTGGCTGCTCCCTTGAATACGCACGGATTGTCTTTGCTCTGAACGACCCGCGCCTCGGCGCTCCTGGGTCCGTTGTTCGGTAACGATGCCTCATTTTTCACCAACACAAACCTCACGTTTTCCTGCTCATCTCCCCAGGCGCTCCAGAGACGCAGGATTTTGGTTTTATTGGGTAAAATCCTCTCAAAGCCTCTCCATTTCTCCACTATGCAGTAAGATTGGGGGGTCCCAGACAGCATCGCCGCTGACGCACCTTGCTGCAAGTTTTGGTCCTCCAGTAGAACTTTGACAACATCGGCGCAGGTGGTGCGTTTAGACAGCCCCGAGACCAGCTTCTCCTCCCGGCAGACCCATACTGATACCTTGCATTCTTCCTGCTCCATACTGGAAAAACCTCCAACCCAGTTGCTCATCAAAGTTTCTGCTCCCCTCTCGACTCCTCGGTCCCACTTTTCAGGCGTAGAAAGAAAAGTGTGTCACACACCTTTGTTTGGAGCTGTCCTTATTCTTATGTAGACATGGCATCATTCTCATGAAATAATAAGCGCAGTACTTCCCTCTATGTAGGATTATTCCCGTAGCAGACTCAAGAGGCATGCTGGGAAGTTGTTCAGTAGGGGGCATTACATTATCCCCGCAGACTTCTTTTTGGAACACTGTGCGCAGAGGAGGAACAGGCGTCCTTCCTCTCGGTTGGCACGCACTACTGTGGGTACATTTCTATGCAAACACTAAAGTATACGCCCTCTGCGCGCAGCGGGACTCTACACTCTCCAGTGTCTGTTGATCACCACAATACACCGCCATACTCCAGAAGTTTTTGTATGTAACATTACCCGCCCACTTTGTGTGCATTTTACGCACCAATTTGCTTGCTGTACTTTGGTCAAAAATACCTTCATTCTGACGTGAAAGATGAAAAAGTTAACACATTTTAAAGTGAGTGTTATATGTCATATTAAATTATTTCAAGTGAAACTTGAACTATACAAATATTCTGATATGTCTCACACTTATTATCTACAACGCCTTTTATTAGTTTATGTTGATGCCCATTAAGACAGGGCCCCCCTTGTTTCACACCATTATTTCACATCTTGATGACTTCTGATCTGGTCTTCTATAGAAACAAATCAATAAAAACTATTAATGGAGCTGCTCAGAACATAATTTCTCTGCCCTCAATAACACGCAGCACACTTACCATTCATCCCATATATCTATCTATATTTATTTACAGTCTTTAGCCTAAACTGACCCCGCCACCCAAACAACTCCCCCCAAAGACATGTGAATGTGAACAAATATATTTTCATAAAACAAAACAAAAGTTTGTCTGTGATTATTGCAGAGGTCTTTGGTGCATGGGGATTGTTGTAGTGGTGTTATATGTTAATAGTGGTGTTATATGTTAATGACCTGGCCAGAATCACAGGTTGTCATTGGTCAGGGCTGGTTTATCCTCCTCTGACGCTGACAGTTGATGACAGGCCAAGTTCGTTGATGAAATAATAATAATACTTTTTTGGGGAGGGCTCATATTTGTCCTGTTACACATAGTGTAATGTAAAATGTGTTTTGTTGCATATCCCAACTCCCCCGAGACACCCGCATGGAGTGGGGTTCCGAACAGGGTCGCCATTGTACAGCGCCCCTGGAGCAATTAGGGTTAAGTGCCTTGCTCAAGGGCACTGTGACATATTATCTTTTTTTCACCTTGTCGGCTCCTGTACATCATCCTTTCGGTTGCTGGCCCAACGCTCTAACCTCAAGGCTACCTGCTGCACCAAATACTACATAAAACCCCAGGCTGGAGGTTATAATAATGTCAGGCAGGTTATTCTCCAACATCAACATAGCCAGGAGATGTATTCAAAGAGGATTGCCATATCCGGGCTCAAGAAAAACAATCATTGGAGTTACTATTTATTCTCACGTGAGTGAACCGTTGCACAGTATCACAGGTTGCGAGGCCTGATTCTTTTGGATATAGTTCCCCCTGTTGTGCATTAAGAGTATTGTATCGTTCCAGCAATATCAAAGGTAGGCTAATACTGAAATACTTATACTTTATTCGAGGGCAATTCATTTATGTTTTTGAGAAATTATGATTAATCATCAATCAGAAACAGAATTGACCATTTAGTTTTATTGGATATTATATGCATACAAAGTTTCTAGAAAGCTATAAAATATCTAACACTTTAGCAATGAAGAAAAAGTTACAAAGCAAAGACCAGACCCTGCAGTAACAACACACATATTGTCAGTTTCTCTTTTCATATGCTTGTCTCAAAAATTCACAATCTTTAAGAAAATTAAAGATAATATTAAACATGTGTACCAGGACATCTCAGAATACATTCTTCTTTATACAAATCACCTTTTAAAAATTATCTGCACACAATGTTCTGAGGATGCCATCCAAACTTGAGAAAAATTAAAGCCAATTTTGAAAATTAGGTACCAGTACCGATAGACGAAGAGCACATGGCCCAGAGCTTTGCTGCTGATGTTTATGTAAAAAACCTCCTTGTGCCCATTTAAAATAATATCTTCCAAAGACTTGTCATGTGAAATCTATATTCCAGGTTGACAGAACAGAGATACTGAGAACCCAGCTGTGAAACCAACAGGCTTGGCTCTGGTTAAACTGGAGGCATCACAAAAGCATTGTAAAGTATAGCCTACATAGAGCACATTCAAACAGAAACTATTGTAATGGTGGACTTTGTTGTTCACCCCAGAATCTAGTCACAATTATTAATAAGTTAAAACACAGGTCAAAGGTCTTCCAAACATGACATGAACCCTGATCCATTGTCTTCAGCAACAGTGTAACATACAAGTATACTGCATGATGTTTTCTGGACTGTAATAAGTTAGTGTGCATATGATATTATAATTACACAACTGATCTACTGTGAGAATGATATGATGAAATAGACCTCCACAGGGATATCACTGCGAACTGAACATGCACCTAAGGGTACAATCTTTTCCCAAATAATAATTAGGTGGGTGCTTATATTTGTCCTATTTCACACATGTACAAGTAAACTAACACTTGCACTGACTTTGCTGATAGCTACTTTATTGAGGAAAAATGTACTTACTATGACTGAGATATGTGGTTGTCCCACCTAGCTATCTTAAGATGAATGCACTAACTGTAAATCGCTCTGGATAAGAGCATCTGCTAAATGACTAAACTGTAAAGTGTGGATTAAACGCACGTGTGAATTGGAAATGTGTTTATTTGCATATCCCAACTCCCCCTGAGACACCCTTGGAGTGGGGTCACGGCCAGGGTCTGCCATTATAAACGGCGACCCATAGGGCGGCGCACAATTGGTCTAGCGTCGTCCGGGTTTGGCCGGGGTAGGCCGTCATTGTAAATAAGAATTTGTTCTTAACTGACTTGCCTAATTAAATAAAGGTTAAATAAAATACATTTAAAAATTAACCAATTTTTCACCTTGTCAGCTCAGGGATTTTAACTAGCGACCTTCCAGATACTGGCCCAATGCTCTAACTGCTGGGCTACCTGCCGCCCAGAAATAGTCCAATTGTTGTGGTAATGAATAGTGTTCTACAGGGAAACACATTGGAAAAAGGCATTCTGGTGATCTCTTCCACCATTTTCTTTGACTTTTTGGTTTAGCTTCTTTTAAACCTTTTCTTCGCTGGAAAGTCATGACCAAAGGCACTTTATGCTACAGTGCAAGGGACAATTGCACATCTGACATGTCTCCAGATTTTTGGTTTTTGATAGGCAATGCAAAGTTATTACTGCTATTACACATGGAACTTGTTCATTGTAATAATCTATGTATGATTTACCACAGTTATTTTGTAAAACAAGGTGAGATAAGTGTACATGTAGAACCACTTATAGTTAACAGTGTATTTATAATGACCGACATGATGAATCACAAATATGATGCATTTTGATCCAAGCAAACCATTGGCCCATTGGTGGAAAGTTACTCACTAAGGCACTGTACACGCAACACTGGGATGTATGAAAATAACAAGGCTGTCCGCCAGCTTAGGAAAGATCTCACAGCTTGAGTAGTAGAGTTACAGTATCTGTAAGGATCCCATTTCCTACCACCACGGTTAATGTGTCCAGTAGTGTAGGCCACAGATTGACAGGCAAAATAAGGCTGTATAGCATTCAGAATCAGGGAAACACAGAGATTAATGTATGGGAGTGTTTTGACTTCTTTCTCAGTCACTAAAAAGAGAGGGTTTATTCAACAAGTTAACGCCACCTCGCATAACCATACAGAGGAACTAAGTGCTTTGGGATGGGTGACTATGGTACAGTGTGTCCATTTTGAATGTTCAATATGTGTATTCTATGATTTCTTTGCTTCATTGTCATACGGGGTAAAACCTTAGCAGCTCAGAGAAAAGATAACTTAGGAGGAATCTCTGGTCTGTACACATTGTCTTGCTGTGTTATCACAGTGCTTTTCCTCTTCGAATCAAATAAAGTTTTATTGGTCGCGTACACATATTTTGCAGATGTTATCGCGGGTGAAGCTAAATGCTTATGTTCCTAGCTCCAACAGTGCAGTAATACCTAACAATACCGGTTTATTTTTAGTTGGGCACAGGAGATATGATGCAGATATGAGAGAGCTGTGCTGCAAAGTTGTACCTGAATCATCATACATCTTATTTATAGTGTCCCTGGAATTATAATTTTACCGGTCTTCATTATAGTTTAGTATTTGCTTTGTTATCCAAAATGTACAAAATATAAAACCTACATATTTTTTCTTTGGAAAATGTTTGTGTGATAGTGATGTTCACACAGTTACATGTACACTACATGACCAAAGGTATGTGGACACCTGCTCGCCGAACATCTCATTCCAAAATCATGGGCATTAATATGGAGTTGGCCCCCCCTTTGCTGCTATAACATCCTCCACTCTTCTGGGAAAGACTTTCCACTAGATGTTGGAACATTGCTGCGGGGACTTGCTTCCATTCAGCTGCAAGGGCATTAGTGAGGTCGGGCACTGATGTTGGGAGAATAGGCCTGGCTCTCAGTCGGCGTTCCAATTCATCCTAAAGGTGTTCGATGGGGTTGAGGTCAGGGCTCTGTGCAGGCCAGTCAAGTTCTTCCACACCGATCTAGACAAAACATTTCTGTATGGACCTCGCTTTGTGCACAGGGGCATTGTCATGCTGAAACAGGAAAGGGCATTCCCCAAACTGTTGCCACAAAGTTGGAAGCACAGAATCGTCTAGAATGTAATTGTATGCTGCCGGGTTAAGATTTCCCTTCACTGGAACTAAGGGGCCTAGCCCGAACCATGAAAAACCACCCCAGACCATTATTCCTCCTCCACAAAACTTTACAGCTGGCACTATGCATTCGGGCAGGTATCGTTCTCCTGGCATCCGCCAAACCCAGATTAGTCTGCCAGAAGGTGAAGCGTGATTCATCACTCCAGAGAAGGCGTTTCCACTGCTCCAGAGTCCAATGCCGGCGAGCTTTACACCAATCCAGCCGACACTTGGCATTGCGCATGGTGATCTTAGGCTTGTGTGCAGCTGCTCGGCCATTGAAACCCATTTCATGAAGCTCCCGATGAACAGTTCTTGTGCTGACGTTGCTTCCAGAGGCAGTTTGGAACTCGGTAGTGAGTGTTGCAACCGAGGACAGACGATTGTTACGCGTTACGTGCCTCAGCACTCGGCGGTCCAGTTCTGTGAGCTTGTGTGGCCTACCACACTGCATTTCTCTTGTGGCTGAGCAGTTGGTACTCCTAGACTTTTCCACTTCACAATAACACCACTTGCAGTTGACCAGAGCAGCTCTAGCAGGGCAGAAATTTGATGAACTGACTTGTTGGAAAAGTGGTATCCTATGACAGTGCCACATTGAAAGTCACTGAGCTCTTCGGTAAGGCCATTCTACTGCCAATGTTTGTCTATGGAGATTGCATGGCTGTGTGCTCGATTTTATACACCTGTCAGCAACGGGTGTGGCTGAAATAGCCGAATCCACTAATTTGAAGGGGTATCCACATACGTTTGTATATATAGTAACGGTTTGTATAGTTTTTCTATTTATCTAATTAAGAAAGGCTATTATGTAATTGGTTCATATTGGTGATGACTACAGTATAAAAAGCTGGAAACTGATAGTAGTTTCCAAATGTAATCCACAGAACATCTTCCTATGTTACACAATGCCCCTTCATATGTACACTTTCTACACTACAGACCTGAACTAGTCTGGAAAAATGGCACATGACACAACTATACCACAGATTGACAGCTGCACTCATACAAATATACATTAAAAAGACAAAAATATAATGATAATATTATCCGTGATAGACTTCACCCCAATGTAACCAAAGGACATTATGGGTGGGATTTGTGTAGAGGCACAGCCACTTTCCATAAGGTTGTCAGTAAGTCATTCTGAAGGCATGTTTCACTGGGCGGTTGCCTCGTGTCTCTCCCACAACCCTGACAATACTCAGGGTCTGTCCTTCAATGTCTTCCCTCCATCCTTCATAAGCTACATGTCCTTCAGGTAGATAGCTCTATGTGATAGTTTGTCCCAGTCTGAATGAAGTATGTTTACACTGAGTGTCAGGGCTAGATTCAATCAGATTGACATCCGCATAGGGGTTGTTTTGGCGGTGTCCGAGGTGGAACTGCAGAGAGCTGTCCAATCCACAAGCGGCTCGTTGCGTTACATTATCGTGGACACTGCCATTGGATGCAATGAAATCACACCCGACTATAATCCGACAAATCCCATGCAGCCGCGTTAGAAGTTCATGCATCCACGTTACAAGTTCAAACACTCGAATTAGACTGATAGGCTATAAATCCCTCATCCAAATGAACATGAAAACATGCATTAGCCTAACATCAATGGTTTGACATTTGAAAGTCATTACTTCTAACATTGATAGAACCTACACTTTCTAGCACCGTCTTGAACTTCTAACGCGGTAGGGATAATAAAGAAGGGAGTGGTTGGTGCCACACAAGAGCAGCCGCTCACCGATATTTCAGCTCAAACCGCAGTTACACCTCCAACACCGCCAAAACATCTGCTATGCGGATGTCGGTTAATGCTCGATCTGATTGAATCTAGGCCTCAGTCTCTTATTCCTTGACTAGCCGGTAGATGTGATGTTGAGCTCCGTGTTCACTGTTCGACACCTCAAACACACACGCCATGCAAAGCAGCGTCTCCTGTGTCTCTCTGTTGGTCACCACCTGAAACACAAGAGAAATGCAGTGTGAGACATGCAGACAAGCACGGAAAAACACACATATGCAGAGAGAAAGACAGACAAGACAGACCAGACAGACACACACTTGTTATAAGTATACAAACAGATTGATGACTCTGAGTAGGACATCCTTACCAATAGGATGGTGAAGTTCTCCAGGACACTGTTCATCATGTATTTCTCAGGCAGGTGTTTGAGTTTGTGGATGAAGTTGATCATGTATTCACACATGGGGGAGCGGCTTATCCTGTAGACAAAGCGTCCGTTCTCGAAGCGAGCATATTCCGTCTGAGGGGGAAGAAGAGCGAGAGAGACATCACTGAGTGCAGCTCTTCACAAGAAAACAATTAAGTGATAATGCCTGAGAAGCCGGTGTTTGGAGGATATATTGGCATGGGTGTTCTTAGAGTGTTCTATATTGGCACGGCAAACCGTGCCAATATATCCTCCAAACACCTGCTTCAAGGGGCATTATCACTTTTATACAACGGGTTACCAACATATTCAAATAATGATTTACATATTTTCATTAAAAACGTTATTTTGATAAATTTATTCATACTATTTCATCCTTACACAAGATATAGTCCCGACACAAATCTAGGGTTGCTACCCAAGCCGGCTGGTCGTTCGTTCTATGGGTTCGGTTGCCAGAGACGCGACCCAGTCGTTCAGACTTTTTGTTCTGTATCTATGGACGCGACCCAGTCGTTCATTCTAAATGTTCCATTGCCATACTGGCTGCCAACGTTCTTATCCCTTGCTTGCTAGCTAGCCATCTACGGCTAATTTACAGTCTCGTCAAACAGTGCAGCCAGAATAACAACAAAGTAGTTGCATTTGTTTAAGCTATTTTCTAGTTACATTTATTTGGATACATCCATAACAATGAGCTAATGATGCGCGATTTCACCTGGCATAGAAAATGTGCTCTCTCGTCAGGACACTGTTGTTCGAGAGCTAGCCAACAACACAGTTAACACAATCACTTCAAACTGAAGCTGGAAAGACTGCAAACTAGCTGCACTTTGTTTCGTTTGTCCTGTTTTCTATTGACAGTTCTTTGTAAATATCCATAAAAATGATGCTGATTCATGATTTCGACTGGCTGAGAAAAGCTGCCTGCCTGTCTGTCTCACCCCGACTCCCGACACTTTCATTACTATGGGACAGCTGGAGATCGAATTTGAATATTGAAACAATGTTGCAAATGTCAGAGAGACATACAGCAAGGTTTATACAAATCTCCGCTGTTGAAAAGTAAATGTTAGTCTAAAAGAAATGTGAGATAATGTCTAAATGCTTTTTATAGTGGAGATCAAGTTTATAAATTGCCTGGCTGGGCTGATGAGACAGTGGATTGCGCAGTCAGATGGAACAGAGTAAATAGGCATTTTAACGTCATAGATTTAGCCGGTGGTAACTTGTGGAATAGACACCGGCTGGAATGCGGTTTTAACCAATCAGCATTCAGGATTAGACCCACCCGTTGTATAAATGAGTGGAGGGAACAATGTCCACCACGATCAAATAGGAGTTAAAACACTCATGTAAGCAATTGTGAGAAACACAAATATAAAAGTAGGTAATTGTGAGTCATGTGTCGTTTTCTAGTTGCTTCTCCACCAAGCACACAGTGGTGTGTGTAGGACTAGGACTCACCCTCACCTTCTCCACCAAGCACACAGTGGTGTGTGTAGGACTAGGACTCACCTCCACCTTCTCCACTAAGCACACAGTGGTGTGTGTAGGACTAGGACTCACCTCCACCTTCTCCACCAAGCACACAGTGGTGTGTGTAGGACTAGGACTCACCTCCACCTTCTCGACCACCTGCTTGCCGAAGGAGCACACCTTGGTGGAGCAGGTGATGGTCATGTTCTCAGAGCTCTCATACTGGCTGCTCACACCGTAGAAGGCCCCAGAGTCATCCTGGATGTTACAGTTCAGGTCAGCCTGCATCAGGATAACATAACAGCAGAGGTTTAACTACATAGTCAAGCAAATGTTGACTAACAACAGCTAAAACAATGAGTTAAACGTTTTCAACAAAACACATGCTGAAAATGTTTAAATGAAAAGTGATTTTCTTTGAATGTCAAGATTAACTTGAGGAAAGCAACACGATGTAAAGGTTACTAAGGTAGCGAGGCCCTCTAGTGGTGTATGACAATACTTGCAATTATATTATTTGGCATGTCTGTATGCTGAGAATGAGTTGAGTGGCTATCTACCGGTAAACACTGTTGTACAATAATCTTGTGTTCCTGCATCTCTAATGAGACGGAAAGAGGCTTTAAAAATATCAAATGGCACAAGACGTATCTTAGAAATGGATGAATGGATGTAAAAATAAACAATTTAATAAGAGTCCTCTGAAGGGGACGGTCTGTTTCAGAAAACACTGAGTTCATCATGTGAACAAAGGATTAAATAGCTCCTTCATTAAGTCAGCTGGTTATTAAGGCCTGTAATGATCAGAGGAGGGCGATTGTTTAGAGGGTGGGTGTCCATGTTTGAAATTCAGATGCAGTGGCTCTTCACTAATGTCTAAAGAGAGACACACCGTCTTGTTTGTGTTTCCCATTTGAATTTTGAATTTAAATCATGTTGACGTGAATTAATATGGTCAAATTTTAAAACCTATTAGCTGTAGATTATGAAAATATTTTTGTGTTGAACAAAAGAAAGGGATTTTACTGAGTATCTCAAAGCTAATAGAGAACCAGCATGCATGTAACAAAGAGAAGGAAACAGAGAGCTGAGGATAACATTATTCTCGAGTTGTAACATTGCAAATCAAATAAAGCCTTTTTTTGCCAATAGACTATATAGGATGTAATAGTAAGTAAAGCCGTGGAGAATGGTACCAGTAAATATTTGCGCTTAGAGAGAGAGAGACTCCATTGGTAGGGAGCTGCTGCAATCTCCTTAGTTTGCCCCAATCTCTCACACCTGTCAGGAGATAGGCAGGTGTTCAAACAAAGCCTCAATGCAACTACATCAGACCCTAGGGGAAACACATACACACGCACACACATTCAAACACAAAACCATATCCTTGGCTTCACTCATGATGCATATACTTGAATGTATGTATCATTAAAGTTGTTTGTTTAGATGTAAATCATGTTATTGTGATGCCAAATTGTGTGGACAATAAAGACTGGGATTCAATTCAAGACACGTTATAGAGCAACGCAGTGGACAGCCGAAAATGCGCCTTTTAAAAAGCATCATCGTGTGCATGTGCAATTAAACTCACCCAGAACTTGACCAGGAAAAAGGAGTTGTGAGGACCCTTTCCAAAGAGCTCCTTCAGTCCTCCCTTCTTCTCTGGGAACTTGTCGTAGATCTGACAGATGTCGACAGCCTCCAGTAGGGCATCGCTGTACGAGTAGTTAGTCTGTCCGATGTGCGCAAACAGGTGCTTGTTGTACTGATGAGAGAGAGAAAACAACAGGTTTAAATAGATCACTTCTATTGGCATTATTTTATGACTTCTCCATTACCTTAAGGGCCGGTTTCCCAGACACAGATTAAGACTGGTCCTGGACAAAAAAAAGTTTTCAATAGTTAATAGAGAATGCGTTTTAGTCCAGGATTAGAATTAATCTATGTCTGGGAAACCGGCTCTAAAAGTTCTCAATCTCTCTTGGCAAGGTTGTCTTATCAAAATTATAAACTCAGCAAAAAAAGAAACGTCCCTTTTTCAGGACCCTGTCTTCAAAGATAACTCGTAAAAATCCAAATAACTTCACAGATCTTCACTGTAAAGGGTTTAAACACTGTTTCCCATGCTTGTTCAATTAACCATAAACAATTAATGAACATGCACCTGTGGAACGGTCGTTAAGACACTAACAGCTTACAGACGGTAGGCAATTAAGGTCACAGTTATGAAAACTTAGGACACTAAAGAGGCCTTTCTACTGACTCTGAAAAACACCAAAAGAAAGATGCCCAGGGTCCCTGCTCATCTGCGTGAACGTGCCTTAGGCATGCTGCAAGGAGGCATGAGGACTGCAGATGTGGCCAGGGCAATAAATTGCAATGTCCGTACTGTGAGACGCCTAAGACAGCGCTACAGGGAGACAGGATGGACAGCTGATCGTCCTCGCAGTGGCAGACCACATGTAACAAGACTTGCACAGGATCGGTACATCCGAACATCACACCTGCGGGACAGGTACAGGATGGCAACAACAACTGCCCGGGTTACACCAGGAACGCACAATCCCTCCATCAGTGCTCAGACTGTCCGCAATAGGCTGAGAGAGGCTGGACTGAGGGCTTGTAGGCCTGTTGTAAGGCAGGTCCTCACCAGACATCACCGGCAACAACGTCGCCTATGAGCACAAACCCACCGTCGCTGGACCAGACAGGACTGGCAAAAAGTGCTCTTCACTGACGAGTCGCGATTTTGTCTCACCAGGAGTGATGGTCGGATTCGCGTTTATCGTCGAAGGAATGAGCGTTACACCGAGGCCTGTACTCTGGAGCGGGATCGATTTGGAGGTGGAGGGTCTGTCATGGTCTGGGGCAGTGTGTCACAGCATCATCGGACTGAGCTTGTTGTCATTGCAGGCAATCTCAACGCTGTGCGTTACAGGGAAGACATCCTCCTCCCTCATGTGGTACCCTTCCTGTAGGCTCATCCTGACATGACCCTCCAGCATGACAATGCCACCAGCCATACTGCTCGTTCTGTGCGTGATTTCCTGCAAGACAGGAATGTCAGTGTTCTGCCATGGCCAGCGAAGAGCCCGGATCTCAATCCCATTGAGCATGTCTGAGACCTGTTGGATCGGAGGGTGAGGGCTAGGGCCATTCCCCCCAGAAATGTCTGGGAACTTGCAGGTGCCTTGGTGGAAGAGTGGGGTAACATCTCACAGCAAGAACTGGCAAATCTGGTGCAGTCCATGAGGAGGAGATGCACTGCAGTACTTAATGCAGCTGGTGGCCACACCAGATACTGACTATTACTTTTGATTTTGACCCCCCCTTTGTTCAGGGACAGATTCTTCAATTTCTGTTAGTCACATGTTTGTGGAACTTGTTCAGTTTATGTCACAGTTGTTGAATCTTGTTATGTTCATACAAATATTTACACATGTTAAGTTTGCTGAAAATAAACGCAGTTGACAGTGAGAGGACGTTTCTTTTTTTGCTGAGTTTATGAATATTTCAAAATGACTTTATCACGTCATGTATGATCTGACAACCTTTTCAGAAGAGAATGTTTTCTTTTCAGGGTTGTTTTAAAGTCACAGATGTGCACAGGCATAGCAGTATAAATACTGGTCTCAGATATCTCACTACCCCAAGATAAATGTCCGCTGTCATAGAACACAAGCAAAAAAGCAATAGCTAAGAAATAGTGACAAAATGACAAATCGGCTGTGCCATGGCAAACATCGATTTTCCAGAGTCACTTTGGTATTTGGAGGGATTCTGCTTTGCTTGTGGTATTATTGTCATTGTTTTACCTTCTCTGTCTGTGAGTGTGTGTGAAGAGATGCCCCAGTTTGAGGCGGTACGGTTGACCTCAGGAATTGGCACTAGTTTGGCCTGCTTTGGTCTGGGTTGGGACGCTGTCTGAGAAACAACTACTGGTTTACCCAGGTGTGTTTTACTGTGTGTGGAAAGGAAGACAGTAGGGCAGGTACTCACAGAGTCAGGGTCTCTCTGCTGCTCCAGGAAGGCAGAGAACTCCACCAGTCTGAGTTTGGTGGTCCCGATGGAGCGGCCCTGCCAGGCTGGGGCTGTAGGCATGGGGGCTGTGGGAGGCTCGTACGCTGGGCGGGGCAGGGGGGGTAACATATAACACTGCCAATTCACTATCCACCGTTTACTGACACTTTACCATCCCACCCCTTACTATCCAACACTCACTTACATTATGGCCATTAGCTATATCAATAGTAGCATTAGCCATGTAACAGTATTAATGTACTGGTAATAGGTGCCATCGGAGTTTCTTTTGAGCGTTGGCCTAAGAGGAATTGAAATGAGCTGATAGAAATAGGGTGAATAGGGTAAAAGGGTACCCTCACCTGAGATGGTGGTCGTTACAGCTGTCTGGATGGGGTAGGCCTGCTGGGCAAATGGCTTAACACTGAAGAGAAAAAGACACAGAATCAGGAGGTTGACCTGGTTAATGCAATAATACAAAGAATGAACTGGCTACATACCAGTTATACCATCAAGCTTTGTTAAGTTTGTGAAGTTATTACTTCATCATCTTATATTACCAATAACAAGACAAGCATTAGGACTTCTTACTCTTGTGAGGATCCAGGCTGGCCAGTGGACATCATACCCTGCCAAAACTAGGGAAAATGAATAAATGAATGAATGGACAATCAGGATGGAACAATGCACTTAAAGTAATTGTTACGAGAGATGTGTGTTTAGTGAGGGGTGTCTTACCCCTGCTGCCCCAGGGAAGGTGGGTCTTGGGAAGCCTGGGAGGCCCAGCTTGGTGTGGATGGCGGTGGCAGAGACGATCTGAGCCGAGGACATGGAGGCCATACTCTGCAGTGCCTTGTCCTTCACACTCTGGTCCTTCAGCAGAAAACAACACAATGACTCAGCCAGAGAGTGGTGGGCCAAACAACAAGCAACAACAGCCAAACACATACACACACCCAACAGAACTCTTTACAATGCCAGCAGGTGAAGACATGGATTATTTGAGAAGACCACAGGAACAACAAGACCGCCTATACACCTGAACAGAATGTGCTATTAAGAGTACAGATTTCTATTGCTCTTCATACATCTCTCTCAGACTGGTGAATAAAAGCACAGAATACACGTTGTGGTGTTATTGAGTCTAGAATTGAATACCAGACCATTTCATGTATTTATCTTCTAAAGGCAGAGTTTGTCTTGTATGAAAACAGTACATTAGTGGCACAACTAAGTGAAAGAATCCCACAAACAACGACATCTGGGCAAGATTCTAGTGTATGCTGAACATTGGGGAAAAAAGGCACTCTGGTGCTTGAGTTCTCTGTTAAGTGTCATCCTCTGGTATGCTGCCATTTTAGTAGCATTTCTGTTCATTTCTGTTCACTTACAATCATGATACATTTTACATATGGCTGGCCCCTGCGGGAATTGAACCCACAACCTTTGGCGTTGCAAGCACTACATTCTACCGACTGAGACACACAGGACAACATATGAATTCATGCAAGCATTGGTTAATGGAATACCTCACTGCCATTTGAGTGAAAGAAGCCTTGGGAGAGGACGAGCATGCTGGCAAAGACAAAACACTGAGATGGAGTATATACACTGAGATGGAGTGGATACACTGAGATGGAGTGGATACACTGAGATGGAGTGGATACACTGAGATGGAGTGAAGACACTGAGATGGAGTGGATACACTGAGATGGAGTGAAGACACTGAGATGGAGTGAATACACTGAGATGGAGTGAAGACACTGAGATGGAGTGAAGACACTGAGATGGAGTGAATACACTGAGATGGAGTGGATACACTGAGATGGAGTGAATACACTGAGATGGAGTGAATACACTGAGATGGTGTGAATACACTGAGATGGAGTGGATACACGGAGATGGAGTGGATACACTGAGATGGAGTGGATACACTGAGATGGAGTGAAGACACTGAGATGGAGTGGATACACTGAGATGGAGTGAATACACTGAGATGGAGTGGATACACTGAGATGGAGTGAATACACTGAGATGGAGTGGATACACTGAGATGGAGTGGATACACTGAGATGGAGTGAATACACAGATGGAGTGGATACACTGAGATGGAGTGGATACACTGAGATGGAGTGAAGACACTGAGATGGAGTGAAGACACTGAGATGGAGTGGATACACTGAGATGGAGTGAATACACAGATGGAGTGAATACACAGATGGAGTGGATACACTGAGATGGAGTGGATACACTGAGATGGAGTGGATACACTGAGATGGAGTGAAGACACTGAGATGGAGTGGATACACTGAGATGGAGTGAATACACAGATGGAGTGAATACACAGATGGAGTGGATACACTGAGATGGAGTGGATACACTGAGATGGAGTGGATACACTGAGATGGAGTGGATACACAGTAGCTGCTGGTGATAGATACACACACAGGGCATACATTACACAGTACATGGGCCTTTAGCAGCAGGACACAACACTATGGATCTAAGAGCAGGGACAACTAGCTTTACAGATGGGCCTGAAGCACAGCCAACAGTACAGTATTTTGAGGGTGGTACTTACCATACATGTGACCTGAATGCAAAGAGATGAGAGTGGTTTTACTCTTACAGCCCACTCGTCACACTTTGCTATCTGGACAAAACTAACTACTGTCCGTATTACAACACAGAATGATCATGTTCAGATTGTTAGAGATGACATGGGAGGTATAGACAGTGGTATGTAAAACATGACTTTGTATGCAAGCCAACCCGCAAGTTGAGCACACACACACATACACAAAGAACAGCTTCAGTGTTAAATGATGATAAGGTCATAGCTTCTGGCTGACTGCTATCTCCAACACTAAGCTGCTCATATACAATCAACAGCGGACACATCTTGCCAGCATGCTGCCCTCATTGGCTTGCTGTCCAAACATCATGCAGGGAGATATTGTAGGTGCAATTTATTTTCAGGATCAATATTTATATTTGAAAAAAAGTATATTATCATTTAAATGTTACAATATTTTCTTGCAATTGATGTAAGATATTTTTCTTGAATAAAAGATTATATGCTATATGAAATATTATGAAACTGAACATACAATTCAATCCTTGATCAGTGAAAGAGAGTGTAGAACTATCACCTTGCAAAGCCATTCTAGTTCCGCTGAGCAAGTGTACACTTTTGTAAGTTACAGGAAGCAATAAGAAACAGAGCAACAAACTGGGGGAAGCATGGGACTAGCCCATCGAATGCTAAACAGGAATATTGGATGTGAGGAATCTAGGATACTGGAGTCACAGCATCAGGCATCCCACCCATTACCACGGCAACAGAAACAGGAAGCTAGACAAACAGTGCTTGGAGGTCCAAAGGCAGTAGCTCTTACCTTTAGCTTGGTGTGAAACTCCCGAGATTTCCGTCTGGCAAGAACCTGAATGTGACTGGAGACCTGTTGGGAGGGAGACAAGGGAACAGATGGTTACCATGGAGATGAAAAGAAATAGGGCCTAAACCCCGCCACTGCGGGCACACACTCCTCCCTTGACAACTGCATCCAGCGCTCTGTATCCTTCCACCTTTCTCTCTGGCTAAGGCTTGACAGTGAAACGTGCTATGCATCATGCAAAAACATCCTTCAATAGGAGACCTGTTTGATTCTCCTATGCATGGCCACACAGGTCAAAGTGTCTTCGCCTGGCCAGTAGTGTCAGATGACCTGCCCTCCAGCAACCTCTAAGGGTTCCAGAAAATGGCAATATGTGTATATGAGGGATTGGACCGTGAGTGGTTTAGAAGTGCACAGCATATCTGATGAGTCCTCATACCTGCTTTCTTGTCCTTGTCTTTCCCGTTCTCAGTTTGATGTATCTCGCTATCAATTCATTGCGACCTGAGGGAAGAAACAAAGCACTTAGGTTAGAAAGGTCAGAGGACTCTGTGTGTGTAGGTAGTGGCCTCCTGGCTTATGTGTCTACTCCAGACAGGTGTGTGTGTGGAGGGGGCCTGGTGGGTGATACTAACCCTAACCCTCGTTCACTTGGAGGGGACCATTTTGTTAAGGCAACACGGACTGGCGTATAACATGTGACCTCGGCCGAAAAAACAGCATCTGGGGGATTTAGTGGTGTGACCCTGCACCCAGCATGCCCGCACTGTAATCTCCCGCCGCCCATGCTGGGGCCTCCCTACTCTCAATCACTCACACACTGTGTACACATAACATGACAATACGGGCATTCATGCAGACACCCAATTCCCAGATCAAAGGCCCCCAAACGGCCAGCTGTAAGCATGCTTACTGCTGAATAATTCATTATTTTCACCAGCTTGCAAACACACTCAGCAGGACTTGGCAATAGCACTAAACAAGCGAGAGGGAGAGTGACAGGGAGAGAGAGAGGGTGAGGGAGAGAGGGAGAGTGACAGGGAGAGAGAGAGGGTGAGAGAGAGAGAGAGAGAGAGAGAGAGAGAATAGAGAGAGAGATAGAGGAGGAGATAGAGAGGAGAGAGAGAGAGAGAGAGAGAGAGAGGAGAGACAGAAGAGGGAGGGTGAGGCGACAGGGAGCTGGCGTGGATAGCAGAGAGACTCCCTTGGACCCTTACTGGGTGGCGAGGAGAGAAACAGCAGAGGGAAGGGAGAGGTTTTTAAAGACCCTCAACCTAACAGACCAAACCAAGAAATCCCCCCCCCCCCATGATACTCATAAGATAGCCCACTATGAGTTCAGTAAGCTCATCTCTATTTTTAGAGCTAGACAAAAATATTGCACTGCCAGAAGAGAGACAAGAGAGAGAAGTTTCTGCACTGATGGACATTATTATAGTAAAATGTCTCATTACGTTTCAAAGAGGTAACACTGCTCCATTTCCCTCAGCTTTCTTCTGAACTCTTATTCAAAACCAGCTCCATCACAGCTTCCTGCTGTGTTTGTTTTCTCTGTAAAACCAGCCATTTAATGGGGGCTGAACTTCCTGATTTGGCCTCATTTTCAGCTTGGTCTTTAATAAATGCAGCGGCCATGACTGAAGCCAAACGAGAGTCTGTTGTGTGTGCGTTAGCACGTGGCAAGTGTTTGTACATTCACTCTGCCAAAACAGTACACAGTTACAGTCGCTCACCCTTCTAGATGACCTGAAACAGTCTAACCAGGTCTTGTGTCTAGAAATCGCAGAGGCTAGCTAGTGCTAGCCAACTTATTTAGCCAATTAGTTTCAGCCAGCTGGTGTGCAACTGTGGCAAAGTTGGTTTGACATTGGATAGCCTATCTCTGGGGCTAGTTAGGGACCATCAATAAATTATACAATATAAATGGCACAATATTTTCATGTTGCACATATTTTAGTTGGCTCATTAAATGCTTTCAATATTTGTAAATACATTTCTATAATTTATAGTTGGTTTGAGGATTTTAAGTCCTTTACATTTGGAACTATTGACATTTAAAAAATATTGTCCCATGTACATTGTGTAATTTACTGATGGTCCCTAACTAACCCCATAGGGGTATGGAATGTCAAACCAAATTGACCATGGGCATTACGATCGGGTCGCTTGCAGCTGCGCTCCGAATTGATGATTACTTGGGTGCTGCCAGCTGTGGGCAGGATTTAAATAAACCCAACCCAAGGAAAACTGTTATGATAGTAATGGTACCCTTCATTCCATGACATAGACATTTTTCCTATCATCTCGCAAATCTCCATTTGGACGAGGCTGACTGTATGACCGGAATTATCCTATTTACACTTTGTAGTACATTTTGACACTAGAATGAAAGTTTCTGACTCATATCGATGCCACATTGGCCGTTTTCAAAATGAGAAGTTGCTTTTTAGGGGCAGTCACTCTTTAATGTCATTATTGCATGTGCCAAGAAACACACATTCAAATGAGTTTTCTCTGAAAACACTTAGAAATAGAAATAACATCTTATTCAACTGCCTTGCAAATCCTTCAAGGTAACTGGACAATATCTCCTTTCATAGGCTATCCCTTAAGTAATTAAAATGATGGAGAACATAATGCAGCCTACAGCAGAGGTTAACAGGTACTAGGCTTTAGTATATGGGTTGGAGTTAAGGTTAACAGATTTGAGTTGAGAGTTCAGTGGGTCGACGAGATAGGGTTTGTGTGTGGGTTGGAGATGTCTGACTATGTACGGTTGGAGCTTAGAGCTCTCATTGCTATGGTTTGCCTGATCAGCAGACTTCGACAGTGCCACTTGACAGCTGATAGTGTGTGTGGGCAGTTCTGTGTTCCCGTTTCAGCTCCCAGTTACCAGGCTGATGGATGGAGCAGGATACTGACCCACACTGACCCACTGTGACCCGGCCTCAGCCCTACTGATCCAGGCCAGGGGTTAGAAGGCAGGGGTCAGAGACAAAGGGCAGAGACACAACACCACAACAGTACACATAACATAACCAGAGAGAGAGGTACTTTATCACCCTCCACTGACACCAACGGACAACTGACACTCAAATTCCAGGATAACGCAGGTTAGTGTCTTCATGTTACACGTCAAAATTATTTGTATTGGTAACAACAGCTTTAAAATGTTTTTTTTTTGTGTGTGTGTGTAACAGCACGTCTCTTAGCTGAGATCTTTTTAAAGCTCTCATTTCCTTTCCCGGCCCTCGTTTAAGGATGGACTGACCATACTCCCACAAGGCTCTGTACTGCAGCATACAGGGTGATGTCAGAGGACCCTAGAGAATACTCTGGCATTCTGACAACCTGAGGATCCCTCATACACTCACTCACTGCACTCTTCATGTGGCTTTGCCATTAAACGTTCCTCCATAAATGTCTATTGCCAGGCAATATGAGCTGTTTCCAACATCATAACAAGGGATTTAAAGGCTTTTCTCAGAGATATTTCCAAGTGTCATCGTGAATCACAGCCATAAGGAAAGACAACTGTGACTTGGCCTGTTCTTGACATTAACCAAAGTTGTGAAACACTGAAATGGAATAAAAACCAAACATTGTATAGCCAATGAAATGATCTTGAACCAGTTAAAGAAGCTGCCCTCCGTATTGTACAGTTCCATCCTTTTCCTGCATGTTGCTGTCAAGGTAGTGAGGCTAGCAACTTTAAACGTATCAAAAGTATAAACTCCCAACATTACAAATCACACAAATATGCCCATGTACAACAAAATGCCTTGTCTCTTGGTCCAGTGCTCAAACTTGTCGCAGGCACCCTCCTTTCATAGCTCTCTGATTAGCCCATATTTACACAGCGACGGGCGCCCTAATCCTTTCCGCTCTTTACTCCCCCTTCCCAGAATGCACTGGGCTCCAGGCAGGCCCCTGTCTCTCGGCGGAGCGGAGTGAGTGCAGGAGAGACCCAAATCCTCTGGACAATAGCCTGGCTGTCCCGCCGGCCATGATGGATGACTCAAGGGTCTCAGGCCTACATTAGCATCACAAAGGCCTAAGCCAACAATATGGAGCCTTTCAGTGGGAGGTCCCTGGCTGGCTGGGGAGACGGGAGAGGCCCTATAACTACTACACACTGGAACAGTACCATGGCTAAAGCTGCTGTATCTTTACTCCAGCTCCATCCCCTGGGCTCTGTCTGGTCTAGCCTCCATGTTGTCACATACAAACACAGAGGGCTACCTTGGGGTATGTTATGGGAGTAATAGCCCCATCCAAGTGATTAGACCTTAAAGCTGAGATCCGCATTTGGTGAAACAGCGCCACAGGCGCATTTGTTATTGTTTTTGAAACGGGGAAGAGGATCATTCTGCTCAGTGGTAAAAAAATGATCATAGTACATACTGCTGTTCTGTCATGCGTGCAATGTTTTACAATGATGTCAGACGGGAAAAAACGATGTTCGTTGTTTCAAGTAATGTCTTTGTTTTTGGAATATCGCAAACAGACGCGGCAGTTTTACTGCTACGGATTCCAACTTTAAAGCTCCAGAAACCAACTACGTAGTTCCTATGGTTAGAAACAGAACAGGTGACTGGCCAATGGCAACTTAACTTTGTTAAGACTTAATAATTTAAAGGCGCTACACCTAGAATTCCGCCCCTATGTGGAAGCTAGGTGAATTGCAACAGCCCTAGGCTGCATTCAAAACAAATCTCCCCCTCCCCTGCATCCCATTTCCCTGTAACATGGTGGAGACTCATGCTTGAGCCTTTTACTTTCGGTTTTGGTCCAGTAGCTGCAAACAGCTGTAAAAACGATATTTTTGTTATTGAAAATATATTTCACAGAGATTTTGGTGGTAAAATGATTCCCTACACTATTCAGTGCTTGTTTTCTCACATAAACTGAAATTGAGCGAACAATGTAGAATTTTAGCAACCAGGAAATGACAGAGTGATTTCTACACTGGCCGATTTCCACTAGATAACACAGCCAAAGTCAAAACAGTTTTCCCATTTTGACAACAGATGCCACTCCGGCGGGAGAAATCAATAGGTGAATATCACAGCCAATCACAACACTGGTGGGTAAGTAATACTACGAAACATTATCATTCCACTATTACTGCAGATACTGCATATTATGGACATTTTCTGAAATGACAATGCAAAAATTCATAAAATCTTATCTGTAGCACCTTTAATGTATCTAAAGAGGCTGCAATGTCACAGGCATACAAAAAGATCAAAACAAACAGACAGAAACAAACCAAAATACTGTATTACTTCTGGACCTTTTAACCCTGAATGGAAATAGATCTAACCCTGGCCCTGTGTCCCTAAACCAGATGGTGCTGCTCTGACCCATCCCTTAGCTTGGAGATAGGGAGCTTAGTCTGATACGATCTACAGCTCCAATGCAGGTGTTTCTCTCAGAGCAGTCAATGGGTGCGGCCATCACCCACCCTGACAAATAAATCCTCACACACTCACACGTACACACTCCTGGCAGGCTGACATCTGACTCCATCCCGACCAGCTGCCTATTCTAGATGGCTTAACACGGTACATTATGATCCCCCAGCACCCCACCCCACTCCCATTTAGAGAATGGGCCAGAGAGAAAGACTTCAAGGCCAAAGTCAGATGGTCTGAGGCCGTGACGATGGCTTTTCTCATTATCAACATACCCCTCCAGCCCTCCCCTATGGATGTATCCAACTCTCCACCAATCACAACACACTTCATCATACAAAAGGAGCCACTGGTAAAGCCAAACACAGCAATCAGGGAATATCAAACATCACTTGCTGCTCTAATTGCTAATTTGGGGAAACCTTTGCACAGTAACGCACACGTGTTAAATGAAAGGCAGAAACATCCAACATTTTGATTAAGGCACCCCATTGTATGCAGCAGTGATTTTGACTTTGTTTATAGAACCATTTCCATTTCAGTGGTACTTCCAGAACACACGGTTTCAAAGTCAGTAAAACATTTTCTTTATGCATGACGTTTAGGATGGAAGACTGCTGTATACCTGATGCCGATAGCCTCCACTCACAATTAAGCACTTCAGTTGTTTTAGAATGACACCAAACTTCAGCTTGAGCCCAGTCTCTGATGAGCTTGAAATATACCGAGGAGTCCACAGACCACAACGACCACGTCTTGGTTTGGCAAAGGACCACTGTATTCATTCATCGCAATTTCGAAATTAAAAAGGCACTGTGTGTGTGTGTTTAAGTGTGTGTGTGTATATATACAGAAGAACAGCGCTCTAAGAACCACATTCCCTCTATCCCAAACTGTGGTCTACTACGCATACTAACGGCCTGTGTGAGTGAATGCTGCTGGTTGGTTGCAGCCGTTGGTTGGTTTTAATGGGACTAATTAGCCATGCTTCCTGTGTGTTCGGGCCTCTCAGTGTTCTGACAGAGAGGCCTGGATGGAAACATTACACACTGGAAATCACACATGAAAAAATACAGGCCCTCAAGCTGCCTGATGAATGTATTTACCTTCAAGATTTTCTTCAACCTAGCCAAAAAAATTATGTGAAGCAAAATGTTGTACTGTACATCGGAATTGTTTAGTCAATCCAAACAAATACTGTACAGTGATGGTGAGAGAGAGAGAAAGAGAGAAGAGAGAGAGAGAGAAAGAGAGAGAGAGAGAAAGAGGGAGAGAAACAGCATTGAGTGTTGTGACCTCTCACATATTCTCCTCCTATCTCAACAACACTTTCTGTCATCATTACCTCTGTCATTCTGTCTCTGTGTGGGCCGTCACACAAAGTATCATGAATCTATCATGTCTTTCAAAGGAACAAATTGTTCCTGGAATAATTACATCAGAAGGGAGTGCAACACAACGACCTACAGATGAACACCTAGTGCTCTTTCCTGACACACACATGCCTGCGAAGAGCGAGGCTCTGTTTCGAACACGTTCTAACCCTGAAGGCCACTGAGTCATTAGTAACAAACAAAGATGTGCCAAGAGCCTCTTTCACTCCATTTACCTTGAAAGGAAGACAGTGAGTATACCACTGGATAATAATCTCTATGCCTTTTGTTTCAATTATTATTGTATGTTATGGAAACATGGCAGGTCTTTGTAAGTCATGATATTGATATTTCTGTTTCGTGTGTGTGTGTGTGCGCATGTGAGTGTGAGACGACAGGCACAGGCATGCCCTTCATGGTCACAGCTTACACCCCTCTGGAGGCACACAGGCTCACATTACTGCAGCATTCTGAACTATCCTCTTCGAACGATTCCTACCATCCCACTTTCATGATAGCCATTCATTTTTAAGACAGAAACAGTGGAGGTCTTTAGTGTTTTTCTCATTCAATAACAATATATTAATTATAAAAGAACATTCTTTGTTACAGTACAGCAACAGGCAACTACAATTATATTGTCAGTGTCCCTGATTCGGGGTTGGAAAGGTAAAGGTTTCAACCACAATACACCCTGACCATTGTAATGCTTCTCTAGGGCACAACACTATGGTGACACCATTTACCAGAATGCAGCAGCCACTACTCTTAAACCATTGGATGCCGTCTACCATAGCGCCCAACTCGCTGTTGGCTGGGCTCCCTGCCTGTGCCATTAAACCCCTACAACTCATCCAGAATGCCGCAGCCCGCCTGGTGTTCAACCTTCCCAAGTTATCTCACGTCACCCCGCTCCTCCGCACACTCCACTGGCTTCCAGTTGAAGCTCGCATCTTTTACAAGACCATGGTGCTTGCCTATAGAGCTGTGAGGGGAACGGCACCTCCGTACCTTCAGGCTCTGATCAGTCCCTACACCCAAACGAGGGCATTGCGTTCATCCACCTCTGGCCTGCTGGCTCCCCTTCCTCTGCGGAAGCATAGTTCCCGCTCAGCCCAGTCAAAACTGTTCGCTGCTCTGGCACCCCAATGGTGGAACAAGCTCCCTCACGACGCCAGGACAGCGGAGTCACTCACCACCTTCCGGAGACATTTGAAACCCCACCTCTTTAAGGAATACCTGGGATAGGATAAAGTAATCCTTCTACCCCTCATGTCATGTTGCAACACTCTAAGGTAGTAAAATAACTGATAGTAAAATCACAGCTGCCTACCTAAAAACCCTTCCAAAAACAATCACACCACAAAAGACGACTACTCGTAATACAGAAAATATAAAGAACATTATGCTTCCTGGCTATATATTTTTTTACTTTACGCACAGCCTGTGCAACCATATATAGAAGAATAGTTTAAAAAATGAAGAGGTGCAACTTCTGTGTCTCCATCCTTTGTTAAAGATAATGTGTGTAAGTCACACTCTTAACTCTCTCTAAGCATTATCTTTGCTCTCTAAGAGGCATAATACATTGTATAGGAAA